AAATTCCCATTGTATAGACGTGACAAATAAATTGATGCATTTCGTGAACAGGGCGTGTTTGTATGACAATTTATCGTTTCTTTGAATACTTTAATCTAACCAATGGACATAGCATGTGGTCAAGTTTAACGATAATAAAAAAAGAAAAAAAAATATGATAAAGGTCTTCAACTTACTTGTGAATCAAATATAGTCAAAGTCAAAGTCAAAATCATTTATATCAATTAGATCAGAAAAGCACTTTTAAACGTCAACAAAAAAATTAAAAGTGAAGCTAGTTGCTCATTCCAAGTGTACTTCTAGATTCCTATGAAGAAAAACGATCAAGAAACATATGTCAACATACTATAATAAAAGAACACGATGTATAAGGCTGCATGCCTTGCCTTCTAACTTTGCAAATAAGCTACAGCTAAAACTGATTTTTAGGTAGAACGCGTTTTCCCTAGTAATAACAAGTTATTCCTAAACGCCTTTGGCGAAACTAGAAATTACTAGCGAAAACTACCTCTACAATTCACTTGTGATATATTTGATTATCTGGTTGTCATGCCAAGCAACGACCTGACATGGTAGGCAGAGCGAGCGAGCCGAACGAACTATAGCCCCTGTTATGTTATTCATTAGGTTACTTTAAACCTTGCGGGCAGGAAGAGGAGCCCTACCAGCGGGGTCTACACCAAACCAGTTTGACCTTTCGACATCATTTTCATCTCATATTGTCAATAAAACTTCGTAGCATTTTGGCATTAGTTAAAACTAGTTTTAACAAAGTCATTTAGTGAATACTACGTCTAACTAGGGAAAACGCGTTCCATCTAAAACTAGTTTTGATTGTAACATATACATTTTCGAATAAATATCAATCTGAAACATAAAAATTTAAGGTATTAATGGATACACGGATATAGTCGAATGTTTCTAAAAATATGTCAGTAATGTTTTAAATTAACTTACATTTACAAAAATGTAGTCAACATTGCTCTTGTACGAAGAGCGATGTTGATTAGTCAAGATTTTACACATTGCCACTAATATACACGATAAAAACTGTTTTGCTGTTTCAAGGTCACGGGGTCAGGGTTTTATCTAGTGTCAAACTTCATCAAATACAAATAATTACCAACTTAAAAAATTCGTTCAGCATGAGTTGGGTATTAACGGACTTATTTTTATTGATTTGCGTCGTAATTTTGTATGGTTTCCTAAAAAATAATAATAATCATATGTTACCCATTTACGAGCTAATCTTTCGCTAAACAACTTTATGTTGTTTACTTTAAAGTAAATGAAGTTTACTTTGTAGATGTTTTTTGAGTAGGACACTCATTCTATACGACCATAATAAACAGTTTAAAGAAGCAACTATAAATAAACTAACGAAGTTTAGGTTGTGCAAATTTAACGATCGAGCGTTATCTAAACGGACGCAAACTTGGATCATAGATCAATGACTCGAGGCCAGTCTTAAACCAGACGCCAATCATGTCGGACGTGGAGCAAACTTTGCGCGGAGTACTCGACAAAGTCGTCGCGAAGCTTCAGTTGCCACGTGCAAACATATCCATCAAGAACCTGACGAGTGGCGGCGCCAACTATACGTCAGCTCTGTACTCCGTCACCATCACTGCGCCAGACCAAGCTGACTTGAAACTCTTCGCCAAAGTAGCTGATGTCAATGTAAAGCTCCGTAAGCAGATGAATATAGAATTACTGTACTCGACCGAGCAGATTTTCTATAATCACCTAGTCGGAGTATACGAGAAATTGCAGGACAAGTACTGCATTAGCCCCGAGCACAGGTTCGTCTTCCCCAAGTTCTATGGAGGCGACGAAACGCTGGGACAAGAGACGGTCGTGATGCAAGACATGACTTCGAGTGGCTACTCCCCATACAGCCGGTTCGAGAGTATTGATTGGGAGCACGCAGCTGTAGCAGTGGAGGACTTGGCCAGAATGCATGCGTTATCTTTTGCATACCAAAAGGATGATCCAGAAAACTTTACCAAGGACACAGACAGGTTAAGATTTGTGAGGGACAAAATCGACTTTGCCAACCTGAAGAAGACGTGGAGTCAGATAGGTGAATCAGCTTTACAGATAGTAAAAGAAGAACATAAAGACAAGCTAAGAAAGATAATAAGTGACTGTTCGACACAGGATGTGTTCTACAAGTTCAGAGGTCCTCTGAGCACGATAGTATTGTGTCATGGTGACTACAGAGTCAGCAACCTGATGTTCCGGCGTGAGGTAAGCCTTTGTAACATTATTATTGAACATCAGATAATTTATAAGATAAAAGCAAGTGTTGTATGTCTTGACGGTAGTTGTGATAACATAGTATCTGAGACATTTGCATTTTTACATACATTTCGTTAGTTAGTAACGTAATTTATCTTAAAATTTTAAATAACATCGTTGTTTACAATTGGTTTACCGCGCGTGTCTGTGTGTGCCTCGTGCCTGCTATGTACACAGTTAGAGCGTCGTAAACACATGTTATGTCATCAATGATAATGTAGCCAAAATAAAGTTAGTAGTTTGCGCAGGCGTCGAAGAATGTTGTCGTTTTTTTTATAGTTTCGTAATGAAACAAAACTACTACTACAACTTTAAGGGATATTTACAACTGTACTTAACTTTACAATATGTATTTACAATTAGTACTAGTTATATTAAATAGAGTTGACAGTACTCGTAAGTCTACTTTTATATGTTATCGACGTTTTGCCAAATTAACCTTTCGTGGGTCAAACACATAGATCCACTCAAGACTCAATGTATTCTATTGTGTCTTATATCGGTGCATTCAAGCGGTTCACTGCAAAATAATGGACAATAATTGAGAATTTTGAAGTTAACGGACCCTCCGTGTTTTGACATCAAAATGGTATCAAAAGGACCTTTAACTTTTATTAAAAACAAAAAAGACTAGAAAAATACTTTTTAAAACCGTTTGGTATATTTATGTCCAGGTACTAGTATCTATGCAGTGTACGGCCGAGTATTCAGTCTAGTAAGACTTGATCTTGACCATGATCAAATCGATCTTTATTTACAAATGCAAAATAGCATGTTATTTGATTCTTGGACTTCCTATTGGAAACGTGTTTGCAATATAGGTATATTGAATCGGTCGGTCTGTCGATACTAGCGCATGTAAATTTCAGATATTGTGAATGATATGCAAATATGATTTATTTATTTAAATCAACACATCCTAACAGGTTACAGCCAATGCGATAATGTTGTCAATTAATAGATATAAAAACTTATAATTAACATTGTTATAACACAGCCATATATATTAATTGCACTTATCCATCAACTACATATGTACAACTAAAAACATCAGTCGTTACCTTTATGAACTCCGCCAATGAGCAACAGAAAATAATAATGGTATCATATACCATGGTAATGGTATCATCACAATTTATGAGCTATAGGATAAGCCTATAGGGCATAGGCTTCATTCCACGATTTTCAATATTTTGCAAAAAAAAGTAATAGCCTAAATAACTACAATAGTTTATTATGTTTTCGGCTTACTCACGTAGTAATTTGACGAGGAACTCGACTAGTTTCAAGCCATGCTAGAGGCTCATATTCATGAGCGGCATTTCGCGACCCGCGATGCGGCGACTGTCGCGCTGCTACTGGCTACTCGAGTCTGCGGGTGAGTAAGGCGAAAACATAATAATTTATTTAGTATGTCTCACGAAAGTTACAATACAAACTACAATGGTGTAAGAAAGTATGTCACGTGATCACGTCCTTATTATATAATGTTCCTAGTACTGTGGCTCACCGCAAACACACAGTCGGATACTGACAGTTGCCTGCACTGTGAACCATTGTATGAACCATTGTCCATGTCATTGTTCCCGAAAAAAAAAAATACAATATAGAAAATTTGCAAAAACATTTACTATTATTTATTTACTAGCTACTTCCACGTGGTTTCACTCGCTCTGCTCGGCGCCTATTAATCGTAGCGTGATATTTTATAGCCTATAGCCTTCCTCGATAAATAGGCTATCTAACACATAAAGAATTTTTCAAATCGGACCAATAGTTTTGGGTATTAGCGCGTTCAAACAAACAAACAAAAAAACAAAATTTTTTAGCTTTATAATATTAGTATAGATTCTCACAAACAATGGTGGTCTTAGTGCTAGATTGATTTTTTTTTTTTCACTAAATAATTATGTAAGTATAACATACTTGGTTTTCTATTAGTTTCCACATGCTGCTACTGTATTTTGGCAACTTATTGTTTACTGCTAAAGTTTTAATAATAAAGGTTCAATAAAATTATTTAGTAAAAATTAGTACCAACTAGGCAAAACACGTTCTACCTAAAAACTAGTTTTAACTGTAACCATAGACAGTAATTCTCAATAAACTACATTTAGAAAATCCAACTTCAATCTCCTTCTTTCTTTTATTCGGTTAATTATAAAACAGATTAATGTTTACAAACCTGCTATTAAGTATAGCAAAATTATTTTTATAAACCGCATCATTGAAATCAATCACCAAATGATCGCGGACAAACAAACATGGGTGCCTACATACATACAGATCAAACAGAATGCCTCCTACATTTTATTGAAGTCGGTTAAAAACGGTTTTGTTGTATCAAGGTCACGGGGTCACGGTCTGAGCAAGCTACCAAGCTACGAACTTTAATAGAAATTGTTACCAAACCAAAAAATGTTAAGATTTGTTTATTTACCCACTTACTTCGATTGATCCGCGTTTTGTTTTTCCATGGTTTCCTATACATACATAATCACAATACTTTTGGTTTTAAACAACCTATTTACACCCAATTATTCACTAAACAACTTAATTATTTACTATTGTTGTTTATTTTAAATAAATCAAGTTTATTTTGTGTTATTTTTGAGTGGAACATTCATTTTGCAAAAATGGAATAAACAATTCAAACAAGCAACCATAAACTAAAGATGTTTAGGTTGCACTTGGATTATAGATTAGTGACTTGAGGTCAGTCTTACACCAGGAGCCAAACATGACGCAGCAAATATTGCACCGAGTACTCGCAAGAGTCGTAAAAAAGCTGCAGTTGCCACGTGCAGATATATCCATCAAGAATTTGACGAGTGGCGGCGCCAACATAACGTCAGCTCTGTACTCCGTCACCATCACTGCGCCAGACCATGCCCACTTGAAACTCTTCGCCAAAGTAGCTGATGTCAATGTCGACCTCCGTAAGCAGATGAATATAGAATCACTGTACACGACCGAGCAGATTGTGTACAATCACCTGGTCGGAGTATACCAGAAAGTGCAAGATAAGTACCACATCAGCCCGGAGCACAGGTTCGTCTTCCCCAAGTTCTATGGAGGCGAAGACACGCTGGGACAAGAGACGGTCGTGATGGAAGACATGACGTCGAGCGGCTACGCCCCATACAGCCGGTTCGAGAGTATTGATTGGGAGCACGCAGCTGTAGCAGTGGAGGACTTAGCCAGACTGCATGCGTTATCCTTTGCGTACAAAAAGGAAGATCCGGGTAACTTTGCCATGGACACGAAAAGATTAAGATTTGCGAGGGATAAGATGGACTTTTCAGGCATGAAGAAGACATGGCGTCAGATAGGTGAATCCGCTATGGAGGTAGTGAAAGAAGAACACAGGAACAAACTATCAAAGATAATAGATGACCGTTCGACACAAGAGGTGTTCTTCAGATTCAGAGCACCTCTGAGCACGGTAGTTCTGTGTCATGGTGACTACAGAGTCAGCAACCTGCTGTTCAGGCGCGTGGTAAGCATTTGTATCGTTATTATTAAGTAATAGATAATTTCCAAAAGAAAACAATATTCGTTTTATGTCATGGCGGTAGTTACATTAACAATCTAAGACGTGATGCATTTTTCTGTGCATTTTAGTAGATAGAAACGTAATTTATCATAAAGTGATCATCGTTTCCTACAGGTGATTTAGCGAGCGTATCTTGCATACTTACGCAAACTACTAAACTATAAATGATATTACTAATATTGAAATATATTCATACAGCTATAAGTTTTGGAAATACCTTCATAATAAGAATTAAACATAGTCTGTTATAATAGGGTAGAAGTAGACAGTACTTATTGAGCATACTTAAAATATACCCCCTTTTGTTAATGTGAATCGTAAACTGGACAATAGCGGACAATTGTTGAGAATTTTCAATTTAAAGGAACCTTTTCTTGGCCTTTTACTTTGACCAAAAACAAAAAAGACGAGATAAAATATTAGTTAACAAATAAAACCATTTTTTTACCTCGTCTAAGCTGAATCTAGTGGTCTATTTACTTCTGTACTAGTATCTACGCTGTAACACAAACACAATTAGCATGTTATTTGATTCTTTGACTTCCTGTTTGAAACGTGTTTGCAATATATAATGTGTTATGTGTCGGTCGGTCTGTCGGTATTAGCGCATGTAAATGTCAGATATTGTAATGATAAATATATAGTACCTGGTTCTGATATATTGCGTAATTGTCACCGATAGTTTTGTGTGGCATATCTTATTTATATTCAGCTTGATTGTGTATAATGATTCTGTTAGCAACCTGGAGAATCATCGGTAGTTATTACTAGTTCATATTATAGTTTTTATACTCCTCTTGAAGGTAGATGCAACTAATGTTTTATTGGAGACCCCCTTCATGAGTTACGTTTGAGATTTTTCGATATATCTAGCTTTATTTGACCCTGAAATTGTCATGTGGTGGATATTATATCCTTATGAAGCTTTTTCATTCTCTCTACGTTATCGTTTAACTCGTCGAGTACCGGTTTAGTAGACACAATTATAGAACAATAGGTTGCGGTCACCGGTGACCGCTTGGTGTTTGACAGTTTAAAGCATAGAACTTAATAATATAACTATGTGAAGAAAAGAGGGTGGATGTAACTTACTATCTTACCTTACATACAGCGGAAAATTACATTGAATCTTTTAATAATATTAAATGAAGGATCTTCATTACGTCTTTTGTTAATAGTACTTAGTAGGTATTTACACACGTTTTACTACATCCTGCATATTGCTTGTATGAGTATTTAATTGTTTGGAATTGTTCTGGATTGTTTAAATATGTGAGGAAACATCTCGGAATATAGGTAGGTACTCGAGATTATTATGAATGGTTGGTTTCATGTATAGCGATAATATTTAGGTAGTACTGTAGATAGTATTGTTACTTGTTGCGTCTAAAGATAAAATAGATATTATCGAGTGCATCTGCTAAGGATGTTACTAACATTTCTCGTATCTAGACAAAGTAGGTACTATATAATATTGTGTTTCTAATTCAAAGGTATTTAAATTGTAGCTAGGCTTGCAGAGGCTCGCTCGCTATAAAATGATAGGATTAACAGAATGTGGTTTTATTGTTCAATTTAAAAAAGAGATGCTAACAAGAAAAATTATACGTCGTAGTCCGACTTACAAAATGTTAGATGAATAGTAAAAAACATGGAGGTAGTTGCAACATAATTATTTTATATTTCTGGTCAGTTTGGCCTTACTTATGAGGTACCTAATTGGTGCATAACTTATGACTATATTGATTGGAAGTGTGTGCGTCCGCATCATAATTTCAACTTTTAGTTTTTCCTCCTATTAGGTGCCCCCGTCGGAAGGTGTTAGAGCACATATAGACGATCGAACTGAACCGTCACCGTTTCGTCAATTTGGGTCGCCGGTCCGGTCGCATTCGCATCCATTGAAAATGTGCGGTGGATCGTGCGCCACACGATCGAATATGGTTCGGAGCGCACCAAGTTCGTGGTCCGGCCCGAACCGAGTTCGATCGTCTGTGAGTACTTTTAACAATACATATAATAAAATGTTGCCTTGAGATTAAAATAGAATATGCTGTTTACTATAGCATATGCAAAGTTTAGATTTTTTTCCTTATATAACAACGCGATTGTTATTTTCCTAAAGGTTGGTGATGGATAAACTCACATATCGTAGATACAATAATTTTATGCATGTTACGTATTATATTTTAGTTATGAAACTTTTATCATTTGACCTCTAACTTGTTAGCAGGTCACAAACATCTATAAATAGTCTTCTCACTAAATGACTTGGGGAAATACACAACTTCTTAGAAGGTGGATCCAAAATGGCGTATGTTATAAAACTAAACCGATTGAGTCTTATGTCCTTCTCTCTAGTAAAGTGCTAGAAAGGGACGTAGATAATCCGGTCATTATTTCGGTATTTAGGTCAAGTATCTCGTGACTTTTTGTTTGTTTTTCTTTGAACGCTTTGAAGAGGAAGTTTTAACCGTTTTTTTAGTTGAAGAACATAGTTAAATTGTCGAAACTGCCGAATTATAGTTGTTGACAAATTGAACAATGGCCGTGACAGGTCGTTGTGGCCTGGGTCAACGAGTCCAAGGCCACTGAGGGCTGTTGGATTTCTATTGGCCATAATACAATAGAATTAGGGCACCGAACCTAGCGGAAAATTTTCTGACCGTGGTTGTATTTTTTGTGGAATCAGTTGCATTTGTAATTTTTTTTTGGTTTACGTCATTAAGTGTCAGTATTGTATACCTACGTGTTCGTGATACGCACGAGTATCTACGAGGTTTAAAATCAAACAAAATTGCGTTATAACTTTTAGAGAGTAAAGTTCGGACTTGAATGCAATTATAGTTATAAGATATCGATGAAAGTAAAATGTTGAGGGTGAAAAGAGAATTGTAGGTATTCTGATATTCTGTAGGTACTTCGACATATGCTACACTAACGACATCTTTAAATTGAAGAAAATTGTTTTTTTTTTATTTAAACGTGGTTTATTATTCAGTTTTGTCAATTATAATCTTCGAAAATACTTTGATATTACATTTAACGCTACGGCAATGCTGCCAGCCTTCTGGGTACTTTCACCACTGACGTCGATGCGGACGAATTTACGATGCTTTATTAAATAGTTGTAGTTTTATTTTAATTAATATTTATCTTAATAAGTTGTATATATTTAATTTAGTAATAGTTAATATTATTTAATTTAACTTTTTATTAAATTATGTACATAAATAAAAAAAAAGAATTAATGCTACACAATACTTAAAAAGTCTCAGTAGCACGGAATCTGGAAATGTGCCCGGTATATGGCAATAGGCTCACTCCCTATTACATGGTACTCATAACATAAATAGTGAAAAGTGGGTGTTACTTCTGAGTGCACCTCTGCCTACCACTTCGGAGATAAAAGGCGTGATGTTATGTTATGTAATATTCTATTCTAAAAACTTCACACTTGAACAAATCTGTATTTATCTTCTGAATAGTAGGAACCTGTATATTATGGAGTAATTGACATAAATTGCTTTGGCTTTGACCTTAAACTGCTGTAATGATAGGAAGTATGTAATGTAGGTAGCAGTTACAATGAAACATGTCACATTCCTTTGCAAATCATAGAGTGGAATGCATTACTCTGTTGTCTATCATTTCTTTTTTTAAGCGGGGACAATCATCGAATGACTTCTCCCGCTTGCTTGAGGCGGGAGGGAATGTTATACTCTTACCGACTAAAAACCACCCCGTTCCTCCTCCTGCCCTTCGAGCCGGAGCCCCGGCAACCCGTTAAGTCATCCGCAGCTCCATCAGCATCAGCCCTATTGGGCCCCATCCGTGGTGGTCTAATGACTCTTTGAGGCGCGCGCGGTCTGGTTCTGGTCGGGCGGCAAGCTGCCTATGCTCGAATCGAGCAACAGCAACGAACTTTGATAAACTTGATCTTTATATTATAACGTCGTTCGTGAGACATACTAAAGTAATTATTATGTTTTTGAAAATGAGCCTCTAGCATGGCTCGAAACCAGTCGAGTTCTTCGTTAAACATTTACGGAGTTAAGCCGAAAACAAAACAAACTTTATCTTTTTGAACTTCGATCTTCAAACTCTATACCAAAGCGTAGGAAATTATGGCTGAACCTTTATTTTTTTATGGGATAAGCCGGTAAACGAGCCCAGCTAATGGTAAGCCACCGGCGTCGCCTATGGACATCTGGAACACCAGAGGCGTTACAAGTGCGTTACCGGGATTCGGAATTAGGATTGTTGGGGATTCAGTGATTGGGGAAGAGGGAAGGGTTGTTCTCGTCTGTTTTCTGCTCGGCCGTGGTATCACTCCGGTCAAGAGGTCCCGTTCGTGCCGACACATTCTCTCTCTCGCTCTCCCACACACTTATAATGTAGAGGATGCCCATAGTAAAAAAGTGGTTTGTCACGAGATCTCGATGATGATTATGTAACTCAAGTACCTAGATCTATAACCGATACTTATTTTTGATGACTTTGGTGAACATGAACGAACGTGAGGGTTATTAAAAAGTAATTACTTTAACGTGAACAATATTATACACGTGTTGTCTCTGCAATAAAGTTATGAGACATGAGAGTCATGAAAAAGTCGTTTGGTTTCACAAAATGTTTCAATCTTTACAATAATTTTGTTATAATTTGTAACAATCGGGTTAAAACGTCATTCAAACAAATAACTGTTTTATTTTATTTAATTATATGAATTATTATTGGGTTGTTTCTCCTTCTCCAGTATATTTAAATTAAATTAAATTAAATTTGTTTATTGGCATACACAAGTTAGATTAGGTACATGTAGACATGGAAGCGAACAGCATTCACATAGATACAAATACGGCAGAGGTGCCCGTGGGCCCCAAACTAGGCACAGCCTGTATCTTGGTGGCCCAGTGGTGAAGGTTTAGACTAGTTAATTCTCGCGTCATGTTTGTGACACAGTGCAACCATACAACAAAAAATAATGAACTGAAAAATAATACGGAAGTAATTAACAAATAATAAACAAATTTTGAGTAACAAATACAAGTGATTAGATAATCAGGCAAATGTAGGTAGGTATAACAAAGCATGCAGACATGAAGGATAACAGCAGCTCTCCTACTGTACTTGGAAACTAACATCGGAAACCACGATAATAAATAAATAAAAGAACTAGGACTAGGATAGGGCAGTTAGCAGAGGGGGGGTGTATGTGTGTGTGTGTGTGTGTGTGTGTGTGTGTGTGTGTGTGTGTGTTATTGCGTGTGCGTGTGCGTGTGCGTGTGTGTGTGTGAGGGTGCGTGGGAGCTTACGTGCGCGCGCTGTTGCTGAATTGTGCTCTTTTATTAAGTCATTTCAGGGAGCACAAGAGGTTTTCTGTATCGTCGTACGTCAGGTTACGCAGCCATGCCTTAATAATAGTTTTGGCTTCGAATGTATTCCCAGGGATTTTGAGTGTCGATTTGTTGACTGTATTAAAGATTCGTATAGATAGAAATGACGAAAAGCGGGTAGCAAAGGTGGTTTTCACTTTCGGAATTGGCAATCTGTTAGCACCGATCCTGCCTCTTTCAGTGTAAGCGAATTGGTTTCCTGAGGCAGCAACAAGTCAAAGGAGAGATTTCAGGATGTAGAGCTGACGAACGCGTAGGACATCTGCTTCTTTGTATAGATCATCTGTGCAGTAGCGCCGCGGCTTACCAAGGAGTACTTTGAGAACGGCGCGTTGAGCACGCTCAAGTTCGAGCATATAAGACTTGGCTGCACTACCCCAGACGCCCACGCAGTACTGTAGCAGCGACTGACAGAGAGCCAGATATACCTTTTTGGATATCTCTTTAGGGGCACTGGCGCGTATGAGTTTCATTACATAAATGAGCTTACGGACTTTAGCGGACAGTGTGGAGATGTGTTCTTTGAAGGATAGGTTCTGGTCGATTATTACTACTAAATGTAACTAGGAAGTCATGCTTTCTTCATAAATATCTACATATTTTCTAAATAATGTTCTCTAATGGTTAATTCAAAATAAATTACTCTAACATGGTACGAAGTCTACAAAAACATACACCAATTTAAATATCAAGCAGCATATCAAGATACCCCGAACCTACAAAACTCTTCAACACATTTACAACTTTACTACAAACACAATAACGTTGCATATCCATGAAAGAAAAATAGTTTGTACGCAGCAAAACATCCCATTAGATAATACCTAAAATTCGTTTGTAGCGCCACAGTACACCAGTACCAAGTACATACGTACTTAGATAAACAAATGTTCAAGGCCACGATCAATAGATGTGGGAATGTTTGTAGTGCTAGTGTGTGAGGAGCACGTGACCTGACCCGGACGTTATTTGTCACTCAAACACCATTCATATCTGATTCATACTGTCATTGTAACGTAGTTGATACATAATTATCAGTTCTCTCGACCTGAACCAGACCCGAGCGTACGGCGCATCGCGTTCCTCGCGCTATCAGACCACCACGGATGATCATGAGGCTGATGCCGATGCGGTGCCGTGGAGAGCGTAAATGGTTACCGGGGATCCGGCTCGAAGTGCAGGAGTAGGAACGGGGTGGTTTTTAGTCAGTAAGAGTCTGACACTCCCTCCCGCCTCACCCAGGCGGGAGAAGTAATTCGATGATTTTTCTCCCCTTGAAAAAAGCATGCTAGTACATAGATATCTATTAGGAGACATAGTTATAAGTACCGATAAGAAGATATGACACACACAGCTTCTAGGAAAAGCTTTGTTTCACCTCAATGCAAGGCACAGAGATAGTACCTAGCTAGTTTGAAATTATGAAATAACAGGATTCAATATTTTTTTTTCAGTTTTTTCAGAATTTCAGATATTCACGTAAAAAGTTTCTATAGAGGTGCTCATAAAAATAAGTTAATTTCGTTTTGTTTGTATTTCGCATGTTATCTCGATAACGTTACTGTGGCGTAAAACCAATATTTGTTATAACAGAGTTAATTATACAGTACGATATTAATAAATGTGCGATTAATATATTTATGTTATGTATGTAGAGGTACCTACAATTGTCGGGGTATTTTATCTTTGAAACTTTGTGTTTCGTACTTACTACACTGCAATATTGCCTAAAGTAAAATTTGGTTAGTAATTAAATGCTAGATTTCAATTGGGTAGTTTCCAGGGTATCAAAATTAAAAGTATAATTAGTCCGTCAGTTAGATAATCAAAAAATATTAGACAAGTATTTTTTATTTTCTCGTATTAAGTTGCAATACTTAGATAAAATGGCGCCAAGTTTAGGAGTGGGAAGTCGTTACGTCATAACGCGCTACAAAACGTGGCACGCTGTGACCTCACACGATATTTCAAATCAATATATTTAATTTTGCGAGAATAGAAAAAATACGTGTCTAAAGTTTTAAATGAATGTACCAGACGGACATTAAAATAAAATTTTGGAAACAACCCTACTATATATAATTGGTTTTATTTTGTGTACGTAATTTTTAGTCTAGCCTTAAACTTAAGTTTCTTTAATTGTTGTATTAATTGTTTTTACTTTTTTACACACAGTGTTTTAGATTTTATTGCTTTTCCTGTCTACAGGAAGAGATTCCTACGGGAAAATGCAGTACCTATGTAGCTCTGATATTTATGTGTTCTCCTGTGTACTGTCTTCTCTCTCCTGTGTACCGTGTTGTGTAAAAATTATAATTAAATAAAATAAATATAAAAAACTAAGTAGTAGATTACTACCATCATCTACCCACTTAACCATTATTTCTTCATTATCATCAGTTGGAAGACGCCCACTGCTGAACGTAGGCTTCCCCCTTTGTCCTTATTTCACGATACCTATCTCGAACTATTCATTAATTCACTCCAGTTTCTTATAACAATTAGATTCTGATGGCATTACCTTATTATTCCAGAATGGCCGCCTTCAGCAGGTAGTGGTGGACTACCAGACCGTGCACAGCGGCTGTCCAGTCACAGACCTGCTGTACCTGGAATTCTTGGGTACAGACCAGGCATTCCGCAACAAGTACCATGATCGCCTCTACGACTACTACTTCTCCGAACTCACTAAGGCTTTGGACCGGTACGAAATTGACATAAACAAGGTGTACCCCAGGGCAACGTTTGAAAAAGAAATTAAGGAGGTAAGTCATATATACTCGTGTTATGGAAGATAAGAAATAGCGTGTAGTCTATACACTGAAAAACCGAAAAATTCTATTTCGTTTTTATCCCTAAGTAAAATGGTTCTCTCTATCTTGGTAATATAATAATTTTACAACGAAATAAAATGTTTAAAACAAAAAATAATCTGGTGAACCACTGCAAAAACCATATGTCGAAAGCGCATACGAACCCATAGTACAATATCAAAACATCACGCCATGTAATTCTCGAAGAGGTATTTCTCGTCGGGTGGCACGTGCGATGCGAATAGTGCCTACATATTTACGTCTAGTGTTTCATGTGCGTATTTCCATGATTTTATTTTACTAAAAAAGACAAGATTATTTTTTTGTTTTTACTTTAATCGACATCGAAAGTAGTTACTCCTTATGGCAAGTTGTTTTACCGCGAGACTAAAAACGAAACAGATTTCACGGTGTATTTAGTAAACTTTTGGTTTCTAATTGGTATGTATAACAGGTTCTCTTGGGAAACGAAATGTAAAAATAAACCGTAACTGAATGGTACACACGGCCACACATCAACCTATACAAAACCAGTTTATCCTGGTATCGCGTCGCATAATTTTTCTGCACGTTTAACGTTCAGTTTATACTGGTTATGTAAAGATCAATGTGAAGCCGTGTGTATATGACATATTCCTAGTTTTATTATAGTGCTATCTAATTAGCACAATGCAGTTATTATTCTCAAAGATAATGAGCCTATAAATAGCAAAGAATATGAGGATAATTATCTTTCATTATTATTGTATCTCTGTCCAGTTTCAATAGAAGGTAATCAATCATTCCTACTGACATTAAGAATAATATAAAAACAATGACGTTACCTTGAGAATCAAGAATATAAAACAACATAAAATTACCTGCGTCTGTATTTTCTTTAAGATATGGGTAATAGTAAATTAAATACCCATTGTCTCCCGATGTGATTGGTACATAATATAAGTCCTAGAGGTGACTATGTTTTACCAAACATAAAAAACCTAGGTTCAAATTTCAGAATTTATTTGAATTACTGAATTTTTAATAACATACAATGTTTTTATTCCAGATGTACAGCGTAGCCTTGACTATCGCGATGGTGGTGCTGCCGCTGGTGCTGGTTGACACAGATCGCGCCCCCCTCATGAGCAAGATCGAAGGAGTCAGTGACTTCGCCATCAAGCCCTCCCAGCTGTTCGCTACCCGGTTCAGGGAACTTGTGAGCGACTGCATCGAGTGGGGAGGTCTATAACAATATTTGTAGATAATTTATATGACTAAAACTTAACTTTGACTTAAACTTAATAGGTAAAGATATGTATAGAACGGATTATGATGACACCTACGGGTTCCCACAAAAGTATATTTTGCTAGTATAGTCGATGCACCCATTCTGCTCCACTTGTCAATTAGGTTCCCATTCTTTTACCATAATGTATTTTTTTATCATATGGCATAACTAAACAGGTATAATTTTTTTGACTTTTGTTCTATATAATTGACATTTTCTATAATTGACATTTTATTTGCTATTATTGCTTGTTGAATAATTCACTGTAGGTACCTCATCTTTTTGCATAGTGTTTTAATAGAATCACAATGCACAATGATTATCATCACTAGGGTATCAGATCAGTACGTTAAGCTTATCTGTACTTGAATAAATTACGGTTGAAATTAATTATGCCTGTGACAAACTAGGTCTGTTATGTTATACGCATAAACATTTATGAGGTCGAATGGGGAACCTAAGTCCATGTAGTCGGCTAAGTCCAAAATTAATAAGATGTCCTGTGTCCAATTTTTGTAAATTATACCATTGACAAAATAATTAAAATGATAAATTTATGACTAAGATAAATATTCTTCATTGCTGTTTAATTTTATAATAAGTTATTAAAATAATTTCAATGGCAGTTTGGCTCTGGTTAAGCTATAAATCGAATTAATCTAGGAGAAACTATATCTCAGTAAACAATTATTATTATTTGACGAGTATTATTTTAGGTATAGTTTTTGATTATGTAATGATATTTTATTGATTGTGATAATTATAATAATTGATATTGTATTCTTTCTTTCTTTCTGAAAGGAAATGATGAAAGTTTATAATAAAATAAGGTGGTAGTTAACAAAATGTGATCAATTTTAAAACTATATATAGGGGTACTGTTTTATTAGTATAAGACATTTGAATAAGAGTCATATTTAATTGAAAATACGGTTTACTGTCGTGAAATATTCGCGAAAAACTTTACTAGTTTGGTTCAGGTGAGTAAATCTTATTTTTCAATTAATTTAGTATTTCTTACTGTGGTGAGCAACAGACAAAAATAAGAACTAATTGTAAAACAAGAAGACTTGTTTGAAGACATCTTATTCTTTACACATAATGCACTCACACTGTTATAATTAATGAAATGAATTAACATATGTATTGAAAGGTCTTTTCCTAATAAAACACATATATACACTGTCACCTAGATAATAATTTTATTGATATAAACACTAACTACACCTGAATAATGATTTATTAGTTTTAAATATTCTTAATTACATGTTACCATTTTTCTTGACATTACGGCTGGACCAATTCGATGGACCGTTTTTTTAATTAAAATTTTAAATATGACATTAAATTGAAACTATATTATTACAACCGAATAATAGATCTTCTCTTATGTTTTTGTATATAGAAAGTTATGCGTCAAACCAACTAGGTTACATGTATATGTTTGGCTCTGTTTTGTTTATTCATATTTTTATTTTATATCAAAGCAAAACTAGTGGGTATGACGCTAATTATTCTGTGGTTCACAAACTAATGTTTGAAGTATATTTTATGAAGACGAAATGTGATGTTCATGTTTATTTGTACCTAAATAATATAATTTAATACTAATGTTTTTCTTGTTGCAATAAATACTTATGATGGACATTATTGATTGTTTTTTTTATTTATATGACTCGTTAGCTGTTCGGTGATGACCGAATACAATTCTTATTTGTAATCGCTGGATATATAGGAGATAGAGATCCACTGGAGCCGTTTAAGGGATTGTATATTTGACAAAGATTAGGTAGCAGCGCTCTCTGATAAACATGAACAAATTCCTTATTTTGGGAAACCATCTTTTTTATAGAATAGGAGGCAAACCTGCTGACGGATCACCTGAGGGTAAGCGATCAGCGCCGCCCATGTAGAAGAGGTCCATTGTCCAGCAGAGAGTAAGTAGTTATATGCGCTGTGTAAGAATATTATATAGCGCCTGTAGTAATTATTTGCGAGTTTTTATTACCGTAGGAAATTTATGTATTGTTTTATTTCAGGAGCAGCTTCGCACGAAGTTGTAATTAGAATTATCCCAATAAAAAAAAAATGAAAAAATAGCTTCACTTATATCTTTTATTATGTGTAACAAATTGGCCAAAAGAAAACGCTCAGATCTAAATAAGTAGTATTAGGTACTAGTTGTACCACTGCGAGTGTTGTAGATCTATGCGAACATATCCAAGGTTCTTCAGGAGTATAAAGATATACTAGGAGTGTGGAAAGTCCTTACCTCTTTCTAATATTCGTCTAATACAAATAATGTACGAAGTCGACCACGAACCTTAACACTAAAACAAAAGAGTGTGAGAGAGTTGTCTTTCTAGTTTTACGTCGCCATGGAGCGGGAGTCGGTTTTTGTGCTTGGCGATAAATAAAAGGCTAAAGAACACGTAACTAATATAGACA